ATGGAAACGAGTCTACTTCCTTCTCTCCGTCCTTAAAACGTTTCTTATTCCTCTTATTCTTCCTCTTCCTTTTCTTACCATTTTTACTTTTATCCCTAACCACCCCACCTCCTTATCCACGAATCACCCTTTGTTCTATTCTATACATACATACATTTTTACAATATTAACTTGGTTTTATTATATTCGCGTGAAAAATTCGCGTTTTCGTATACCACTTCTCCGTACATAATCCGTAAACGCACACGTTAAATATAAATATATAAATATATATGTATATATATTATATATATATATATATATATATATATATATATATATATATATAAGAGAGTGTATTTACACAGATTATATAAATTTTAAAGGTAACTTTTTCTCTTTCTCTCTCTCTCTCTCTCTCTCTCTCCTTCTCTTTCTCCCTCTCTTTCTCTCCAATTGGAACTTCCGATGTTTACTTCGAAATGCAATACACAGCGAGTATCAGGAGAGACGATATCTTATGATTTATTCATCCTCCTCAAAGGGTGAAAGAAAGATAGTCTCGCAACATCTGGAAAGACCAATGTTTTTTTTTTTTCTTTTTATCCTTTTTTTTTTTCTTACTTCACACTCTTAGAAAATCCTTCGAGCTTGTAATAATTTATCTAAGAACATTGCCGAGATTCTCTATCTATTTATAAAATATGATGTCTGTGATACGTTATATAGAAAAATAATTTCCTCCTTTATTATAACCATACGAAAAATTCGATCATTCTTTAAAATCATTGAAAATCTAGATCCTCTACATTACGAAAAATTAATAGAACGAATTTTCTTAGCTATTATTGATAATATATAATATATATATATATATATGTTTACGTACATATATCACGACGAGATATTTATTTATTTATTTTATATATATATATATATATATATATATATATCGTTAAAGTAAAGAAATAAAAAACAAAACGAAAAAAGGAAAATAAATATAAATACATATAAACGTTATATTGTACATACGTACGTATATACGTGTGGGAAAAGATATTCACTTTGTTCGGACGATGAAAATAACTCGAACTAGATTAATCGTAAGTAACTTTTATTTGAACGATGTTATCCCATTCATTGTGAAAAACTTATTCGAGATTTATTCATGCGTCTTGTCTAGAGTGCTTACATATCTCAATCCTTTATAAATACATTCATACAATATACATGTATGCATGCATGAATGTATGCATAAATAAATAAATACATGAATACGTAAATACATATATATACATACATACATACATACATACATACATACATACATACATACATACATACATACATACATACATACATACATACATACATACATACATACATACATACATACATACATACATTCACATATACTTTCCTGAGTATTGTAAAATGAGGAAGAAGGGCGGAAGTGCGTAGTGTCAGGGAAAATAGTTCATTGTAACGCGAGCGCGCACACACACACACACACAAACACACACACACAAGTAGCTATATATCTCTATGTAACTACATACGTATCTCACATAACTACTGTCAATTGAAACGTATTGTCGGTAATAGGAAGAAGAAGTAGAGAAAGAGAGAGAGAGAGAGAGAGAGAGAGAGAGAGAGAGAGAGAGAGAGAGAGAGAAAGAGAAAAATAAAAAGGACAAAATAAAAAGGAAAAAGAAAAAAAAAGAAAAAGGAAACAAAGGGAAGAATTTAACGATTAACATTCGTGTCATTAAATCGAAAGAGAAAACCACATATTTGATCTTACACGTTTAATTAAAGAATTTATTACAAATCGAATGGACACATTGTTTCACACATTGATTATAACTTTTAATAACAATTTACCATGTCACTTCTCATTGTCCTATCTCTTTTTCTCTTTTACTTATTTTCTTTTCTTTTTTCTTTTTTCTTTGTTTTTTTTTTTTGGGGTTTTTTTTTTTTTTTTAATCCTCTGTTAACCTTTTTACCTTTTCTGTCCTCGATCCTTTACAATAAAACAACGTAACGGAATACACCTACAAAAAACTTTACACAAATATGCACACTCAAACGTATATATAAACATATCATGTACATACGTATCACGTGTATGCAACTATGTAAATAAGTATCATATGTATGTATGTATGTATGTACGTATCTCTCTGTATGAGTGTATATATACGTGGACGAAAAACGAAGGTAGGGATAAAAAAAGAAAAGGAAAGAAAAAAAAAAAAAAAGAAAAAAAAGAAAGAAAGAAAGAAAGAAAAGAAAAGAAAAAATTTGCTCGAAGGCAAATACGAAAAAAGAGAAGAGTATCTCTTTGACTGTTCTCTTCAAATAATCGTACAGCACTGTATTCTTTCTCTTTCTCTCTTTCTCTCCCTTTTTCTCTCTCTCTCTCTCTCTCTCTCTCTCTCTCTCTCTCTCTCTCTCTCTCTTGCTATATTTTAAAAAGCATAATACATTTTTCGAATGGGATATATATATATATATATAAATTATATATGTACACATATATACATACATATATATATATATATATATATATATATTTATTATATCGCCGGTGACCTAATTTTGTATAATCCCTGAATTCGTTAGTCGTACTCGGCACGCGACGCTTTTCCCAAGGAAAACATAACAAACCGTATACGACATATTTCCCAGCAGTTGTACGTTGTTACGAATAAAAGAATTGTCCTTGCTCGATAGAAAGCAGGTGAGCTCTCTCTCTCTTTCTCTCTCTTTTTCACTCTCTCCCTCTCTCTCTCTCTCTCTCTCTCTCTCTTTCACTCTCTCTCTCTCTCTCTCTCTGTCTCTGTTTCGACGCGCGCGCTTTACTACATCGTCCTCCTCCACCTTCACCTCCACCTTCACCTCCACCTCTTTCTCCATCTCCTCCTTCTTCTTCTTCTCGACCCACCTTCTCCACCTCCGTCCTATTCCTTCATCGACACGGTTGTAATGTAGATGAAAGATAAATCGTTGAAAGGAATACGGTAGTCGAAGCCGAGAGTGTGAGAAAACGTAACATTCATTTCAGATGGTCTAAAAGGTTTCCTTGTATTATCATTTAGATACTATTTTACTATCTCTTTATCTATCCTTTCTTCCCACTTCTTTTCCCCTTTCTTTCTTTTCCTTCCTTTCTCTCTCTCTCTCTCTCTCTCTCTCTTTTTTTTTGTTTTTGGTTTCTTTTTTTTCTTTTTCTATTTTTTGGTTTCTTCTTCCGTTTCTTTTTTCACATTTTTCTTCTATTTTTTTCTTTTTTTATTTCCTTCAAAATCTTTTTCATTTTTCTCCTTCATTCCTTCTCTTCCTAATCCTCCTCCTTCCCTTCCCCCCCCCCCCCCCCCCCCCCCCCCACCCACCCATGCTCCTCTCCTCACCCCAACATTCTTTTTCTTTCTTCATAATTTTTTTTCTTCTTTTCTCCGATCGAAAAGTACAATCTTTTTTTCACGAGCCCGAACACCTTTAATCGAACGTGTCGGAATCGTATGGTCAGAAGGGAACAAAAATGAAAAAAAGAAAGAAAAAGAAAAGAAAAAAGAAAAACGAGAAGTTAATCGCTACTTTCTTCTGTATTTCTATATTTCTTATTTCTTCTCTTTTCCTTTTTTTTCTTTTTTTTTTCCTTTTTTTTTTTTTTAATCCTCATTTTAATTCGCAACATCCTAACATTCGCGTCCATCCGATTCTACGTCCCTCGTATCCTTATATCTTGTCTTTTTTTTTTTTTTTTTTTTTTTTTTTTTTCGTTCATTTTTTTTACCTCGTATCTTTTTGTACATCCCTTCTTCCTCTTCGTTTTTCTTTTCTTTTTCTTTCTTTTTTTTTTTTTGTTTTTTTCTAAATCGGACAATACGACCCTTTTTTTGGCACGGGTTCACGAACTCATCGTCGAAATTGTGTATCGTCGAAGAGAAAAATAAAAAGGCAATAGAAAACACTTTTCATTGCTATTTTCTTTTTTATTTCCTTCCTTTTTCTGTTTTTTTTTCTTTGTTTTTTCCTCTCCCCTTTTTTCTATTTATTTGTCTATTTTTTTGTTGTTGTTCTTTTTTGTTTTTTCTGTGTTTTGTATCTTTTA